AAAAAAAAAAAAAAAAAAAAAAAATGGTCAGTCATAAGCTACCGGCCCTTATCACCAATGGTGCTAAAGTCGCATTTTTGGGCACATGGCTTGTTTGGCGGCGGAGGGAGTTTAAATCATTGGCTCGTTGGCCATTTAAATTTTGTTTTCTGTTCCAGGTGGTTGCAGGAGGACTACAAATTTACGGAAATGGTGCATTACTGTGTTCCTGATTGCGAGAGCGCGAAGTGTAGAGTTAAAACCTTTCTTTTACCGAAGGAGAAAGACGTAAGATTATACTTAAAACCAGTTTTTGTAATTTTATTCATATTATAAATTTTCTTCCAATAATAACGAAAGGTTATTCTACGTGAAGTCTAACACTTTTAGGTAATATTTCGGATTTTGTTGAAACTTGGATATATTGTAGCCTTTAATGATATACGAACATATCAAAGGATTTTAAAAAATTGTTTAAATTGCAAAAATTAACTATGTTTCAGAGACGAATAAAGTGGTGTTTAGCCATATGTAGGCTGGATTTGATCAACGTCCATCCATCTAGACGAAATGACTACCGTGTGTGTGAATTACATTTCACACAGGATTCATTGTACGCTAGTCATCACAATAGAACAAACCTTAAGTATGACAGTATCCCCACATTGTCTTTGCCAGGACTGCGAGGAAAATGGATGGATACAGGTATGTATTTTTTCCACAGTAAAGGACGACTTCATTTTCAAGGCTAAGGATAAGTATTATGTTTTATTTTTATATAACAGGCCTGTCCAACTTCTGGCCCGCGGGTCATTTTGCCAGACGACGCGGTCCCCACCATCACTCAGTCCATACCGCACTACTCGCTTGCGCTGCGATGCGATCGTGGGGCAAGAGGTACGTGCGGGTAGGAATTTTTGGAGCGTCAGAAGTGGGGACAGTCAGAGCATGTACACACGCTTTCTTTTCTCTATATCGTCGGGCTTCTTGTGTATATGGAGGGGGGCCATTCCCCTCGGCTGAAAGAGCAAGCCGGTAGGGGCGATTATCGATTTTGGCCCGCGGGCCAGAAGTTGGACAGGCCTGTTATATAACTTACATGCAAACGTATTTTTCCCTTCAATGTTACTTATTTTTTAGATGAAATGATGCAACCAGAAGATGGCACATCTATAACTGTGGAAAGTCAGTTTGAGGAATTGGGTAAGTTTTTTTATATTATAGAATAAATTAATTTTCATGAAATTTATCTGTGCACATACTTCTAAAGTCGATTTCACTTAGTTTTTAGATATCAAACAATCATTTGATGTTGGCCACATGCATCCAGGGTCATCTATGACTGTGGAAAGCCAGTTTGAGGAACTGAGTAAGATTTTATATATCATAGAATAAATCAATTTTCATGAAATGTATAATATATAATATACGTATATTATGTAATAAAATTAATAAACATATTTAAAATTGCGAACACCTAATATCTAATTTATTATAACTCAAATTTGTCATACACGATCTCATACAGTAGCCGCCAGTCATTCACTGTCTCGTCTATTATAAATCGTTCCGAAATTCAAACGCGTCTCGGATATCCGGCACTCGTTTTAGTACCGGACCTTATCACCAATGGCGCTGCAAATCGACCAAGAAAAACCTCTGAGTTGTACACCCGTGGGTGTCATCGTCGCTCGTTGAACGATTGGCGAAACAATCTCCCCTACTATAGCAGCAACGTAGGGAAGCCGACTCTGCTCGACTGCGCGTAAACCGTCACATAAGTCTGTCCTTTTCGCACTTGCGGTTGTCCTCTTTTACGGCACATCCTCGTCTTGACGATATTTCAAGGGTCCCTGTTTTCGGTCGGCACGATGAAAATGGCGGTAAATGGGAAAACACATGAACCGTATATCGAATTATTCAGTGAGCTAATAAATAATTTACAGATTGAAAATTAATTTCTTTTCCTAGACTGGTTACTATGCATTTCTATACCCAAAATGCATTTCAGGTTAATGGAACTGCCAGAATTGTAGAATATGTTACTTGGTCAGGACAGGCCTCGGAACTCTTTATACAGTGTCATGTCAATACTTGTTCGTTCGCATCGCATACAATGTATCACTGTTCTAACATAAACATTTCTTTCGAACGCCTTAGGAATGCTTTCTGTCGGTTAGCGTATTGTTTAGTATTCACAAATATTTTAATCAAGTGCTGTCAGTATATTAATTTAACAAAACGAAGTTGGTATCCCAACCTCGACATTTTTCTCAGCGATATTTAAAATCTTAAGAATGAGATTTTCATAACACAATCGCCTTCGAAAATCTGTCAACCAATTCCGTAATTCAATCTATCCCTCGATTACTTACGAAATTATCAATAACTAATGATAATAATTAAAACATGATACTGCGTATAAAGGGTTCAGAGATTTATCCGACCATCTCATATATTCTACAATTCTCGCAGTTACATTAACCTGAAATGCATTTTAGGGTACTGATGAATATACTAACCAGTCTAGAAAAAGCATTAATTTATAATCTGTAAATTATTTATTAGATCAATAAATAATTCGGTATACGGTTCATGTGGTATCCCATTTACCGTAATTTGAATCCTGCCGACCGAAACCAGGGGCCCTTTAAACATAGGTAAGACGAAGAGGTGCCGTAAAAGAATACAACCGCAAGTGCGAAAAGGACAGACTTATGCGACGTTTTCGGGCATTCGAGCAGAGTCGGCTTCCCTACGTTGCTGCTATAGTGGGGGAGATTGTTTCGCCAATCATTCAATGGGCGACGATGGCACCACTGAACAATGACCGATACACGCTGGTTGTGACAGACTGGTGACCAATTGTGTTTATTACTCATTTCACTGGCAATAAAATATATCGCTTTTACCCTCAAATGTTCAAACGCGCAAATTGGGTTGCTTGTCGAGTACTAAAATAAATGTTAAACTGAATGTGGTTCTTTCATGTAAGTGTGGCGTGAGTTTCAGTGACTTTTGTGGTTAAGTGGTGGGGAGCCTTTCCCTCAACGGAAGCCGACTTTGTTCGTGGGTAGAGATGGCGTGAACTGCTACTTGTGAATTACGAGTGATTCGATCACGTTCGTTCCCAATCACGATGATTTTTCACGGTGATTCGTGATTTTTCGTGATCGTTTCTGATTGGTCGAGAAACCGAACAGTTCTTTACACGCGACACATAACCTGTATATTTTATATTAATGACGGTGAATAATTAGAAACAATGAAGAATAATGAATAAGTTAATGATTATAAATTATAATCTACACGTTACCTAGCAAATCATTCTTTTAGAATTTCTTGTTTTTTCTACTGATTTTTATAAACACAAGTAGTAATGTAATTCATCGTAAAATCATATTGAATACGTTTTTCTGTTTAAAGATTAAGGACTTACGATCACAGTGAGCAAATTCAATCGAGATAAAAAAATCGCAATCACGGTTGTGAATGAAGTTAAATCGCGACCGTGATCGTGATTCGGAAATCACTGTGATAAATCACTGTTAGTGATTTTGCACGCCATCTCTACTCGTGGGTTATCTGTCTCCCCCCTGAAATAGGCTTCACGCCCCTTGCCGATAAGCTGAGCTTACTCTTCGTCCCCTTATTCCTATGTCCATGCCTCCTATCACTTGATAAATTTATTTCAAATACTGAAATAAATGTTAAACCGAATGTTAATTTTGCATAAATTTCAGTAACTCCAAGACCAAGTGGTAGGAGGTCTTTCCCTTACACCATTTTTTCCCCTAGCGGAAGCCGAGTTTGCTTACGGGGGTACATCAGAAGTATTATTTTTAATACGATAGAAACTTCTGATAGCTTGTAAAGCTTAAAACAACCTCGGGTAAATGTATACTGTATAAAATTAACTTCGTATTCAATTAATGCATGTTAAGTGGAATTTTCAAGTTTCTAAACAATAATCCCTGTTACAAAAAGGACGATGTTATATTTTACAGAATGTTTTTAAACCTATTGTGTATTATATTGTGAAACAACATATTTGTTGTAACTATAACTCGTTACGAACATACAAAAATTGTTGCATCCTTTAAGTTTTTGTTCTGAAAAGTTTAATATCTTTACTGTATGACCTAGAGTCCGTCGTACCTATGTGATATTAACTATGAAACCTATAAATCATACATAGTGTCAGAGAGGAAATGTAGCGTAGAGCAAGAAATATTGCATGTAGTCAATTTGAAAGCTGTGTAGAAACAAAGGAATAACAATTTACAGTATCTAAAAATAAAATAACATTTTTTAGTAATGACTAAAAATTTAATTTTTTTTTTTTTTTCACAGAATAATAAGGGGCATGTATCCATATGGTAAATACGAACTGAAGGAGCCTCTGCGTTTGATTAAAAATGCAAAGGGAAGTAAATAGCATAGTTGCAAAATCATTGCAAAAAGCTTATAATCATGACAGAACTGGAAACGTAGGGAAGGCATATGCATATTACACAGTTGTAGCAGAATTATGTCCAACATTGAGATTGGATATTGAAGAAGCTTTTGTTGATGTACTTTGTATGTTTATATCTTATGGTTTACATTTCTCTAATAGCAAAATTATAAGTAGAATTTATTTCTTAGGTCAATGGGGAATGCAGCTTGCATATGAAAACAGATTTTCAGATATTGTTTTATGTTATACACGTTCTTTAGATATTTATCCAAATAATCCTCGTATGTTAAATAATTTTGCAGCACATCTTCTAAGGTAATTTGGACTGACAATTTGGGTAAACATAAAACTAGTTGATTTAAAATTTATTTTTTAACATAACAGATATCATGACCGCTAAAATACCATATAATGAGGATTAAAAATATATTGTTAAAGGAATAATGATCCAATAACGGCAATAAAATACCTAAAAAGAGCCCTGCAAGCCAATCCCAATTTTCTACCAGCAGAAAGAAATTTACAAAATGCATTTAGTATGGCTGTAGATAGGTGGCACTTTCCAATGTTGAATGACAAACAAAGAAATAGTGCATTTGAAAGCGTGATACAAAAGAAAATTTCTCAAGGATATGACACTATATTAGACATAGGAACTGGTACAGGATTGTTAAGTTTATATGCACATGACGCTGGTGCTGAGAAGGTTTATGCATGCGAATATTCAGTAGCAATGATTAAAATTGCTCAAAAAGTATTTGAAAGTAATAATGCCAAAAATATAATATTATTGCCCAAATTTTCTACAGATCTTGCAATACCTGCTGATATTACAGAAAGGTCTGTCCTTTACTCACAGTAATTGATTTTATTGTAAATGTGGAAAACATTTGATATGTATTTTTTTCAGAGTGAAATTAATAGTGACAGAAACTTTTGATGCTGGTTTATTTGGAGAACATGTAATACCATCTCTGTTAAGTGCTCATACAAACATATTACACAAAGATGGCATAGTGATACCCATGAGTGCTACACTTTATGTAGCTGCAGTGCAATGTGAATATATAAGAAACAAATCATCTGTAGTTTTTGATGAAGTACAAAATTCTTGTCCTTTAAATTTTGATAATATGTCTATATTATTGGATGATGAATATTATGACACGGAATATTTAAAAAATGTGAAAGTTAATTATATTACAGAACCTAAAGTTCTTTTTACTGTCAATTTTAATGACATATCAGATTTACAAAAATTTAATGTGGATGGTGTAAAGAGTTCTGTAAATGTAAAATGTGAGTATGATGGCACCATAGACTTGCTGGCAAACTGCTATTTTCCCAGCAATACCAACATTATTTAAACAGGGAGACACATTAACAATTAATGGAGAAATACTAAGAGGAAAATTAAAATGTTCTTATACAACAAATGTTACTGTATTTAATAACCATAATCATACAAAATTTTTATATCGTTTACCAAAGGAAGTTATAACATTTTTAAATGACTTTGAATATATAAAATTACTTACTGAAGTTAGTAAGTCACTCATTAACAAAGAAATAAACACTATTTTGGATACCTCTCCGTTTCCAATTTACGGATTCATGTTATTGAAGGAAAATAACTACAGTCAAATTTTGTATTATAAAACTGAAAATGAAACTCTTCGTCTTCTTATAGAAGAAGTTGCAAAACAAAATGGTTTTAAGGATAAGATACATATTGTATCAAACTATACAACTATTAACATTTCTTTAGATACTATATTTGTTCATGATTTTGACATTAAAGGAGAACTAAAAGATCATGGTCAAGAACATAATCATGAATTTTTTAGGTAACAATTTTAAGCATTTTTAGATCCAGTAGTCTTGTTCATAGAATTAAAAAATTTTAATAATGCATTTTACAGATGTATGCTGAAACCAAATGGTATCTTATTACCCGAACAAATATTCCTTGTTGGGCAGCTTGTGTTTTCAGAAGAATTGGCAAATATGGTTTATGTAAAAGATGAAAACTTACAGAGGCGGTCAACTTTAATATTTAATACAACAAATTCTAAAAAGGTGTATATACAAGAACGTATACATAAGTTAATTATATTTCTTAAATAGATTAAACTTATAATTGTATTGTTTTGCAGAAATTTAATAACTATCAAAATATAAAAAGTAGTTTTAACAACAAAAATTCATATGGAATCGCTCAGCATATTAATGAATTTAAGGTAAAATAATATTTGTCATATTAAAGAAAATGATATTTTATAAATTTGTATATTCATGCTACATTACAGATAAAACAGATTTTTGATTTAAATTCAAGTTTATATCTATATGAACCTTTATCCAATATAAATATACTGACAGAAATAAAAGAAAGTGAAATTGCTGAACAGATAGTCAATTTTGGTAAAATATATGCAACTACTAACAGGCCATTACCAAATGCACTGATTTGCTGGTATAAAATTAAATTGACATTAAATCACAATTACGACACAAAAAGAAATGGATCATTCATGAATCACACAGCAATATTGCTAGAGGAGGAATTAAAAAATATTGTTCTGCAAGGTAACGATGTGTGTATAAAAGTTCAACAGGCTGAGAGCATGATACATATAAAAGTCAAATGACTCAATATATAATTGTAACTCACTGGAATTCTACATTTATTTTCCATATTTTAATACTTATTCTGTACATATATAAAGAAGGATATAAACAATAAGTTCTATCATTAACAAAAATAAATTTAATGTTAAACGAACTAATGTGTATTACATACAATCATTTTATAAAAATAAAAGTTTATAATTTACTCTTTGTGTCATGCTTCAAAAATTTATATATATGTGGTGCTACCCTTTCAGGATAATTGTTATGTACATCATGGTTTCCTTTAACAAAAACTACAAAAAAGTCACTCTTATCTTTGATTGCAATTCTTGCTTGCTCTATCAAATTTGGGATTGTATCTATTTTGCTAGATCTATCTGCGACAATTAATATGACTGGAGTTGAAAATTTCTTCCAGAACTCTGCATGTTGTTGCATAGTAAATATTGGTCGTACAAGTTCTCTTAATCTAGGGTCACGATTATATTTATACAAGTCCCCAACTTTTGTAACTGCACGTTTGAACATAGCTTCTGCAGCATCTGTGTTCAATGTTTCTTGTCTTTTAAACTTCAAAGCATACATTACTTCTTCTTTCGTATATAATGCATCTTTAGCTGTACTGTACTTATTCAAATTATATGTTTTCTGAGTGTAAGATACAACGTCTCTAATTGGAAGAGGCATGATTCCATCTATGGCTATGATTTTTTCAAGACGTCCAGGATACAATATACTGAAATACATGCCTATTTGAGACCCAAAACTGTGTGCTAAATAAATACAAGTTTTCCATTTTAATGCATCTAATACTAGCAAAATTGTATAAACATAATCAAAATATTGCAATGGTACTCCAGAAGGAAATGGTGAAGAAAATCCATGTCCTGGCAAGTCTATGCTTATATAGTGGTATTCTTGTGGAAGAAGATTTATCAATCTATCGAACGATCCAGCATTATCTAAAATTCCATGTACCACCAGAATTTTCTTTCCTCTTGATGAACCATAGACTTTTGCAGCAATGTGTCCCCACGGTACAGGTAAATTGACTTCTGTTACTTGTTTCTTCGATGAACTCATGATGATTAAATACAATATTTGCAAGATAAATGCTCTATGAATTTATTTTCTCCATAGAATCAAACACATGTGAAGTATTACTATAAGTACAGCAATAATATGACAATTATATACTTTTGCTCTCATGAAAGCTGAAATAACAATATGATAAGGTATAATTTTATCAAAAATACGAAGTTCACTGCTAATCAGGTTCAATATTGCAAGTCATATTGTTTCTAATCAAATGACAATTGTAAGATAAAGTATTCTGCTTTATAATCTCATAATGAAATGAATCAAAATTCTAACATATTATTCTTGACTTTGGTGTTAATTACTCAGCTAAAATATATATGTATATTTATATAAATACTTTTATTGACAAAAAATAAAAATGGCAGTTTGTTGTTAAAATTTACAATCAAACAAAATTAATTCAAATATTGTTTAAAGAAATTATGAAAAAAAATTAATACTTAATTGTAAAACAGAAATGAATTAAATATATATTCGAAATGTAAATTATAAATTTAAAAAAAATACCATTAAACACATACCTAATATTCTACATTACAAAATAAATATTTATTATTCTTTCATACATTGCTTCTAATGGTGGTATTATTTGCTTACTTTTATTATTGTTATTATTTTTTGGTTACATTAAGCAAATTATTATCAAAATAAAATGTAATAGGTTTAATGTCGAATTTTTATTAAGAATATATATGCACTGTCACTATACAGAGTAGTATTTACAAACAACCGTATAGTCAACGATGAGTACATAGCTGATCAAAGGCTGATATGGTAGGTTGAGTTAGGTATTGAACATAGGTATATAGACGGAGCATGAACTGAGCGGGTTAGTAAGATTCGCGGTAAGGGGGTGGTTAGTTATAAATCGGGTAACTTCGTTCCTTTTCGGTGCTATTCGTGTATACAATCACGTTACACACGTGTATGCTATGAGAGATGAAAAGAATATACGTATTATACGTTAAAAATTCCGTATGTCATGTAGTTTGTATAGATATATCTATTTAACAAAATGAATAAATAGTATAAAGCATTAAATAATAGTACGGCACACAGCCCACCAGCCATTAATAACGAGCCGAATCGAGCCGAATGCATCCGAAGCTAACCGACGTATATCTAACGACTGCTGTCTTTTCCCCTCCAATCCTACGGTCCTCTCGCCAAAAGTGGTAGCTTATATTGTGCCGCTAACAAAGTGCTGCCACCTAGGTCATGTTGCGGCAAATATGCTTTAAGTTAACTAAATCGGATAATAATTTTGTGTCTACGTGTTAAGTTTTATCATTAAGGACATGTTGCATAAAGTCACATATATTTTTGCAAATAATATATATATTTTTAATAATATACAGGGTGGGTCAATAACTATGTCCACTTTGAATATTGCCGTTATTTCTAATAATATGAAAAAATGTTATATACAAAACTTACACGGTATAGAGGGGGGCATATTGTGACACAAATATTTTCTGCATGGGTGAAGGCATAGAGGAGATTTCAAGGTCATTTCTATTTTTTTTAATGGAATGCTATGTTTCTTTTATCGCGATGTGATAGCCGGTGTTGAAACGACTTCAGCGAGCTATCATTGAAGGTCATGCAAGGTCAAATGTGGTTGTAAAATAAACTTTCCTACATTACAGGAGATGCTTGAAGTGGTGACCGTTTGTGTCAATGTAAAGTTGCAATCTTCGTATCGCTGCATCACGTGCATGTCTTATCGTTTCTGAACTTATTCTAGCACATGCTGCAATTATCCGTTGTTTCATATTTTCTGGTGTAGTGGGTATTTATTGATAAACAGCATATTTCAATGCACCCCAGAGAAAAAAATCCAATGGGGTTCAATCTGGAGAACGAGGTGGCCAAGAAACTAATCCTCTACGTCCAATTCATTTATTTAGGTAAAGTTCGTTCAGTGCATCTCTTACTCTCCGAGCATAATGTACTGGACACCCGTCGTGCTGTAACCACACCATTTGGCAAACGTTTAGTGGTACATTTTCTAATAAAGTCCCCAATTTACTTCGTATAAAGTATGCATATCGTTCGCCAGTAAGATTTCCATCGATAAAATGCAGTCCGATTATTTGATCACCAACGATTCCACACCACACGTTAACTGATCATTGTCGTTGATGCTCAACTTATCGCAACCAGTGTGGATTATCGATACTCCAATAATGCATAATCATGCAAATTGAGATTTCCATAGTTAGTAAACGTAGCTTCATTGGTGAACAGTATTGAAGAAAAAAATCTTTCATCGATTTGTATTTTGTACAGAGCCCACTGACAAAATGCGACACGATTCATAAAATCCGTACCGTGTAACTCTTGATGAAGAGTAATATGGTATAGATGAAATTTATGCCGTGCAAGTATTCGTAGCACGCTCCTTCTATTGATAGCCGACTCACATTCAATCTGTTGGGAACTAATCTGCTCTTACGAGTACTCAAATTTCCGGTTTCTTTCAATTTTTTGCACAATCTTTGAAATGTTCGGTGCGAAGGATGTGCACGGTTTGGATACAAGGATTAAGCTCTTATCGAATTTTGTCGCATTTCTCCATAAATGAGGATCATATCCACTTGCTCTTCAAAACAAAAATTCATTTTGATGGTCACGCAGCTAGTTGACTTAGCAATCGACCGAGACTGACTACCGATTCAATGTTACGAACTGATGAGATGTTTACATTTCTAGCCACAACATAAATTATGTATTGCCACAATATAAACAATGTTACAAGACCATTCGTTTATCTAAAAGTGAGGGTCTATGAAATAATACAGCATGTGCTAGAATAAGTTCAGAAACGATAAGACATGCACGTGATGCAGCGATACGAAGATTGCAACTTTGCATTGACGCAAACGGTCACCACTTCAAGCATCTCCTGTAATGTAAGAAAGTTTATTTTACTACCACATTTGACCTTGCATGACCTTCAATGATAGTTCGCTGAAGTCGTCTCAACACTCCCTTTTCTATTAAAAAAAATAGAGATGACCTTGAAATCTCCTCTATGCCTTCATCCACACAGAAAATGTTTGTGTCACAATATGCCCCCCTCTATACCGTGTAAGGTTTGTATATAACATTTTTTCATATTATTACAAATAACGGCAATATTCAAAGTGGACATAGTTATT